AACAGCTCTAACATATTCGCTTCGAAACTTGGTACATGTTTAATTTAATAGTACTATCCTTTTGTTATTAACTTTGTAGATAAGTCTTATTTTTAACGGTCTCCACTTAAATATGAATCTTGAACACTGTTGAACATTGTTTATACTGTCTTTTACTTTGTACTTTGACTTTCTTCATACTATACTCAAAAGTAATTCCTTCTTGTCTGTACAATAAAATTATCAGGAATTTCGAAACGATATGATAATAATTATGTCTATTAAACACCATGATCAAGGTGATTTCAATAGTCTTTTATATGAAAGGATAGTCCTGAAATTAGAGGTCAAACACAGAGACATCTTGGTTAAACATTTCTATTTTAATAGACCGATACTGACTAACTGGATAAAACTTTGTAAGAGAGACATTTGTACCATAAAGGTAAGCAATCTGGCATTTTGAAATACTGATTTTTAAATTTAATACAAAATATAAATAACAATTTCACGCTAAGCCGTGCACCATCTTCTAAAGTGTAGAAATAGATATTGTCTTATCAATAAATTTAACAAATAGGTATGTATACATATACGTAGAGGTCGAGTGGATACGTCATCGGACTGTCAATCACAAGGTTCGCGGTCGAGTCCCGCCGCGGCACTGATGTCCTTTGGCAAGACATTGATCTACATTTGCCACACTCAACCCAGGTGAGGTGAATGGGTACCTCGTAGGATTAATCCTTGAATTACACTGTGCGCTGATAACGGCTGCCGGAGCTAAAGCTATGGTAATAATTTCCAAAGCTCTTCGCAAGCGCATAGAAATGTTATTTCATAACGTATTACGCGCTATACAAGAACTGAATACTATTATTATTATACATTATCCAAGAAAAGTGAGTAAACCCGTTAAAAAAATGTTAAATATTTTACAGCAGCCAATTACAAAATTAAATAAAAAAATAATACCTGCAGACAATGATAATTCATGCATTTTGTGATATATTTCAAGATAACCTTGGCTTCTGGTAATGATGGGAAATAAATTTTACTGGTTCAAACAATCAATCCACTGCAGGATAAACAATCCAGTTTCAATTATAGCCATATTCTCTCGACATACGATGCCCATACCACAGCTCAAATGTACAACACATTTACACCATGATGACCGTGCAGACAGTGCACTAAGCGGTTTCATTGGAATAGTTCAATACTTTTCATAAGGGTGTCCATACTTTGGTCGGATATTTCGTCTCTCACGGGTATGTTAATATTAAATTAAACAGTTTAAATAAGGATCCTTGATATCTATAAATATTGATATTACCTCAACTATGTAAGGTATGTCTTCATGTATGTACATCCGGAGTGTCTTGTCTTCCCCAAGTGCCATGTCAACGGGAAGGAAAGGGGTGCACGCCATTCGTTTACCGGGCGCATTATAATGAAGATCCATCGGTATCCATAGCTGTACCTTGTCCTTAAGTACAGATGTGGCACCTATGACGAGGTTGATTTCCCTTTCTTTAATGATACATTGCACATCACTATGATCGTACCAATCATCACGGTTAACTGTAAATAATTGCATATTGACAGGGTAAAAAATCAAATACAAATCTGTTTGCTTTCTTTTGTAACGCCCTTGTTGATTTGATGACTTTGCGTTCTTCATTTTGTTGCTAAATGTTTAATTGACAACATTCGCGCTAAGTAGGCCAACGATAAAATGAAAGAAATGATGATAACAAATGGGCATTCGATGAATACAAAATAGGTGAATGAGGAATGTATGCAAAGTAATCATGAATGGTAGCAGCGCGTCTCTTTTTTGATAAAAATATATATTTGTCAAGTTTAATTTTCACTACACCAACTATGGAAGTCACTTGTATTTAACGTGGAAAAGTTTAAAAATTAGTATTTTGTGTACAATTAACCTAATGTTGATTCAGTTTGTTTCCAGATAATGTCAGCATCACAATCGGTTGACTCCAGAAATGTTGCAGCATGAGGAAGACTTAACGTTATAGGCTGGTCCTGAGAATAGCGCCACTGTGCAGGGAATGTGATGCCAATGCCATGGCCTGTAAGAAACTCTCCCTCTCGGATAGGTGGGGGATCATCAGTAACTAGAGCTAGAGACACATCGTGGCAAGAGCCAGCCTGCAATGTCCTTGGTGGAATCGACATTGTGACGCCACAACTATCCAAATGTAGAGTCCCGCCTTCACACCCAATACTACGATGAGTTTCAGTAGATCTTGCAATCGGCAGATCTATATGTTTACGGAAAAAACATTGAACAGCATGATGGAGAAGCTTGAAGCGGACATCGTCTTATCAACGCTATACGGATAATAAGTAAACAAATCGTCGAATCTATTTTGATGGCAGAATAACGCCGACCCATCTACCTTTCTCATACCCAAAAGGGGATAGTCTATTCTATAATATGTATTTAGGTTTAACAAAGCCAGAGCACAAAAACGTGACTATTGGCCGTGTCTAAATATTTGTCTGTTTGCGGTATGCATAAAACGTATCATTTTCATAAATTGATCCTTGTACGAAAAAAATCTTATTAAGAAGTAAAACCCGATAAAAAATTAGATGCAATACGTACCGCGGAATGTATGAACATCATCTTCGGATAAGCTGCAAAAAGGAACATAACGTATGTTGTATGAGCCTATATAATTTTGATGTACATACATCCATGTTTTACTCCATAGTATATCGTGTGTTATATAACAGTCATGTATTGACATTGTTGTTATTATTTGGACTTAAATGTTCGGATGCACAATTATAATTGTTTAAGGACTGATGTTTACAGAAAAATGAAAGAGCTAGTAGAAAAGTATGAACAATTTATTAAATAGAATCTTTCAGAGGAGACATACAATAATTATATTTAATTACGCAGATAATTTACTTCAGTTTATTCATTACTTTTTGGAGAATTTAAACTTGAATCATAGTTAACAATGCCTGGTTAAGCCATTATTATTTTCTCACCTCCGGAATACCATTTGCCCAATACGCTCATCCCTGGCATACTGTATCGGGGTAAAACCGTAGTTATCCTTAATTTCGACCTTGGATCCTTGATTTATAAGCAATTGTATCAGCGCCTCTGCGGGGGATATGTCATCATCACTCTGTTGTTGTATCTATTTTGTTAATAAAAACGGTAAAAGAACTAGATTATTGTCAGTATAAACAACCAAACAAAAATAGACTGTCTAGATTGAATGCTTTTTCTACACTTCTACCAGTTTTTAAAATGTACGAGAACAGGATATAAGATTATTTGATTTGTATTAAGTTTATACTTGCTACAATCTATTCACGTGGCACTATCGACTTATAATATGAAAACATGATGATGATAACAATGGTAGTAATTACGGTAATAATAATGATAATGATAATGATAGGCCTAATACTACTATTACTGCTACTGCTACTACTACTAATAATATAGAATAAAAATTATACTAAATGCAACTGAGCAACCCCCGCACCTTCGTTCGATGGTCCCTCCCACACGTTCACCATAGTTTTCCTGCATCAAGTTGGTGTAAAGATCGTTGAAAGTGTATATTCAATAAAACAAACGGAGAGGGTATGTATTTTATGAATTCCATATTAACAAATATTTATAACGTTCATTATCAAGGACTTTGTCCTCTCCTATTCAGACATTCGGATAATAAAAAGGTAAATAAATCACGCGCGTGCACACACACATGTGTGCGTGTATGCGTGTGTGTGTTAGTGTGTGTGTCGATTACAAAGAATAACATTCCTCACTAAGAGATAAACTAAAACAAGGAATACGTAACCTGCTTCAAAGCTGTTGTCACTTCAACCTGTCTTTTCTTACAGTGGCATAGTCTGATGGCAACGTGTAAGGGTGTCTGGCCATCTTGTGACTGAGGATTTAAACCAGCACCTAGTGATACCAACTGTTCAATGATTGATGTTAACCCGCTTACAGTAGCAAGGTGAATGGGTGTTAGACCAGCACTGTCGCCGTGATTTATAGATGATGCATCCTGTGAAAATAAATATGATGGAACTTAAATATTGTCACTCAATAGTGATGACCTTTTAAGAATTTTGATTTTAATTTAGTTTATAAAATCATACATACACGTACATATACTTTATATTATAGCGGTATCCATACATAGATAAAAGACATACAATTAATGACACTCGATATTTAAAAAAAGCCTCTGTTGTCGAACATTCATTACTTTCATTATTATTATAATTACAATGATGTGTTATACTTTTACTATTGGCTTGTTATAAACATCATGAAAGAGATGATACTTATTTAGGATTACTATCGGCAGGCCTAACAGCATAACTGTATAGGGTAAGAAGAACATGTTGATAAAAAGTAAAAAGTAGAGGTAGTAGGTGGGATAGTATGGGAGACGAAGGTACTGATGGTAATGCATCAGCTATATGAGTCATACGAATAAACATAACAAGCTGAATAAGTAAAAGCTACATGTACCTTATCAAGAAGAATCCGAGCAGTATCAGCATTGCCAGAGCTTAGTGCAATACTTATTGGTGACTGGCCTCTTCTAGAAAGTTTCGTGGACATTGTTGCTTTCTGGTCCAGTAAATCCTTCATTATTGATTCATTCCCACTTTATTAAAACAAGGAAACATATTGTATATGTATATACATATATTCACTACATATCTCCTTCAAATGACGGTGTTATTTCAGCGTCATTAGAAGGACATATGTAGTGAAAAAATGAGTCATTAAGTAGACAAGGTTATATTAGCAGGACATTTTCGTGTCCTGTAAACGATTGAACGATAGAAGTTGTGCCCTAAACGTACGTTTGCATGCAGAGAAAACCTATAGTCCTCCCCAAAACAATAGGTTTAATCATTAGTCATTAGTCATTTGTTTAATTAGTAATATTGTTTTGAATTCAGGGTTAGGGTAATATACTGGTTTTTATGATGTCAGGTTAATGCACTATGTAGGGTGGTTTATATTTGTCCTGTTAATACAAATATGTAGGGTTATATGTTTTACTAAAATTTTGAATCTCAGACCGCTTCATCGTTTTCATGAACAGTTAAAATGATCTGTTTATAATTAGTTATAGCTTGATTCTGAAATCATATTTGGTCTGAGACTTACCTAAAAGGGAAATTATTTCCACATCATGTTTTTTCCGGAATCAAAGTACATAACTTTGTTTTAATAAAAGGTGATGTAATTGTAGCGGAACCTTTGGTTGTGTTTCATTCATTTGAAAATCTACATGGCCTGTGCAACCGCTAATAAACCTACCCTTAAAAAAACATGTTAAAACCTCTTTTAAGAAGACTAAAAAAAGTTGTTCGCTTTGATAAACATGATGAACTTTTTTGTTGAATTTTACAACATTACAATTGAATCATAATAATATTTTTGATACAGTGAAGAAGAAAATTAGTAGTACAATTAGTGTGAAAATATTGTATAAACAGTTCACCTTTCTGCAGCATAATGGAAGGTTGTCCAACCTTCTGTATCTTCTGTCTCAATATCTGCATTGTTTTCTAGCAGTATACGTGCGCAGTCCAGATGTCCTCCCATTGCGGCAACCATAAGTGGCGTTACCCCTTTTAAAGTCTGTAAGAAAAGTTATATTGATAGGCCGCATATACAGTTTTGAGTAGGCCTATCATAAGTTACAAGTTAAATGTACATGTTATCATGAGTATTGCTGACATTTCTTGTTACACATATATTCAGCACTGCTAAAAATCTACTATTATTTCGGGAACATGAAATTTGAGAAGCTTTGTGCTGAATAAGGTGATACCTCACCCGTGAGATCTTATTAGCCAGTCCGAATCCCGAATTATGTGCTAAATACGCACAACTTAAAACGTTGTATAATGTCCTCTTTGGTATCGGATTTGGTGTTTTCTTTTCGTTCTCTTGCCTTCGTCCACAGCAACTGGACTTTATTCAAAGGAATACTTTGGTAGGTTAAAATTCAACTTGGAGTCCATCCCTTGTTAAAAGAATATCTTAGCTTGTCACATATCGGACATATTTATCATGGGGATACATGTTAAAAACTATATCACGTATTAACAACTGCATTTGCTTGCATGCCTTACCATTTAAATATACATATTGATAATTGAATGGCTTAGCTGCGCGGATCGACGAACCGGCCGAAATTAGCCACAGATTTGTGTATGGTGTCGTCAAATGTGTGTATCAATGCGAAAGCTAAAACGCGTCCCTCGGTAAAAAATATTTTATTTAGAATACTCCCACCATATTTTAAAAACGTATGCATTGTTCTCATGGACTTCATATTTTCAGATAAATTCTGAACCTATAACACCAATACCATAATTATTTTCCAACACGATTTGGTTATTAATCTTATTTCTACTCTTCCCAATGTTGTAAAGGTATTGGGTATCTTTGCCTCAGATTCTAAACAAAGTCCCGGAATTAGCTCACGCTGCAATAATAATTATAAACCTTTAAGTCAGTCTGGAATCCCACGACTTTTACAAGCCGATCGCATGTTTGATTATCGAGATATTTATAATTGGAATTCTAAACTTCAAAAATCGTTTTCCAAACGGTTGTTTAAACACTATTGGGGAAAATGAGTATGGTACAACCGGCCACTCTAAGATTTTTACTTTTTTGAAGCACTTCATGATCATTATGAAGTGCAATTTTGTTAGGGGCTTCAATATTACACCATTACACAGACACTGATAACACGTAGAGCAATGAATCTCAGATTTGTAAAACTGGAAACTTTGTTAAACAATGCCTTTAACATCAAATCCAAGACTCGCCCACAGACGAGTAATTGAGACATTTATAAGACTCACTGTAGGCATTCCCGGTCGACTACCATAGGGCAATAGTCCTCTGCCAATTATCCCCAAGAACAATCACACCCAGGACAACTACACCAAGGGCAATAATATTGGGACAATAACCTTCCAGTTACGTAATGGGTGTAGTTGTCCTCGACTACAGTTTAATTCAAATACCATGCCTATTTGGACATATCCGGGAGAAAAGTAACTGATGGACCCAATAGTTACTATCTCAAACTGTGTGGAAGAGGTTTAATTAAAGAATATTCAATTTTTCTCATTTTCTAGACTTTATTCTTTCATTAGAATGCTCTAAATCCCTACTCGAGTATCTGAAAGCCTTAAATCGGGAAACTCATCTCGAGGGACACATTTCTTTTCAAATTTTCCCTTTGAGACAACACACCTGCAGACTCCAAACAAGAATTTATGGTTACATTGCAGCCAGCGCGCCGGTCTGCGCGACCCCACTGTTAAGTAAAAGCAGTTTTAATTGAGCACAATACCTGAATTTCCACTTCAAGAGCGTTGTGACTATTTCCCGATGTATCTCTAGAGTTGTTTTTCAGGATATATTCCAAAGATTCCAAATGACCATTATTTGCTGCGAAATGAAAAACTGTCCAACCGTAATTATTACGTGCCGCTATATTTGCTCCTTTCGTGATGAGATATGATATTATGTCAAGGTAACCACCGCGAGAGGCAGCATGAAGTGGCAGATCACCCTCATTTGTTGGTTTGTTTACATCTCCTCTTACCCTCACTAGACATTCAACGACATCGAAATGACCATTTCGAGAAGCAATGTACAGGGGTGTTTCGCCGTCGATATCAACCAAATTCGGGTTGGCCCCTTTAGAAATGAGAAATTGTACAACATCTACTGCACCATTAGATGATGCCAAATAAAGAGGTGTCATTCCATTCTTTGCAGCTTTGTTAACATCAGCTCCTGCTTCCACTAGATATTCAACAACATCAAGATGACCCTCGGGTGAGGCAACGCTCAATGTGGAACTTTCTATATGATATATCTCATCCGAGTTGGTGCCTTCAGAATTGAGCAAGTTAAAAACGTCCACTGCATAATTAGATGTTGCCGTGCAAAGAGGTGTCATGCCATTCGTTTTTGCTTTGTTTACATCTCCTCCTGCATTTATCAAACATTTAATAACATCAAGATGACCCTTTTGAGAGGCACTGTATAGGGGTGTTTCACCGTCATTATCAACTGAATTCGGGTTGGCCCCTTTAGAAATGAGAAATTTTACAACGCCTACTGCACCAATAGATGATGCCAAATAAAGAGGAGTTGAGCAATTCTGTGCTGCTTTGTTTACATCAGCTCCTGCTTTCACTAGACATTCAACAACATCAAGATGACCCTCAAGTGAGGCAACGCTGAGGGGTGTGTAAATATCTTCATGAAGTGAATTCGGGTTTGCACCTTTAGAAATGAGATATTTTACAATGTCCACATGACCTCTACCTGACGCCGCATGAAGAGGTGTCATGCCGTTCTGTGTTGCTTTCTTCACATTAGCTCCTGCATTCACTAGACATTCAACAACATGAATATGACCCTCAAGTGAAGCAACGCTTAGGGGTGAATAAGCATCGTTAACAACCGAATCCGGGTTGGCACCTTTAGAAATGAGACATTTTACAATGTCTACTTCACCATTATCTGAGGCCGCGTAAAGAGGTGTCATTCCATTCTTTGTTGCTTTGTTTACATCAGCCCCTGCATTCACTAGACATTCAACAACATCAAGATGACCCTTGCGTGAAGCAATATATAAGGGTGAATCGCCATCGTTATCAGCAGAATTCGGGTTGGTCCCTTTAGAAATGAAATATTTTACAATGCCTACTGCACCATTAGATGATGCCGCATGAAGAGGTGTCATGCCATTCTGTAATGTTTTGTTTACATCAGCTCCTGAATCCACAAGACATTCAATAACACCAAGATGACCCTCTTGAGAAGCAATGTACAGGGGTGATTTACCATCGTTATTAACCGAATTCGGGTTCGCTCCTTGAGAAATGAGATATTTAACAATGTCTACAAGACTTCTATCTGACGCTGTATGAAGAGGTGTCCAGCCATTCTTTGTTGCCTTGTTTACATCTGCTCCTGTATTTACTAGATATTCAACAACATCAAGATGACCGTTTAATGATGCGTAATAAAGGGATGTAAAACCACCTCCGTCACCAGTATTAACGTCCACTCCTTTACGTATGATATATTTAACAGCATCGATATAGCCATTGGTAGATGCGTATAGGAGGGCAATATGGCCAGTATCAGTACGTCCCAGATCTGCTTCCTTAGCCATGAGCATTTTTGCTATATCATGTTGATTATAAAGTAATGCTAAAGCTAGTGGTGCATAACCATCGTGTGATACCTTGTTTACATCTGCCCCTGCATTTACGAGACACTCGACAATATCAAATTGACCTGTCTTTGAAGCAATATGAAGAAGTGTATATTCATTATCATCAGTACAACATGTATTTAGGTCTGTACCTTTAGACATGAGGTATTTCACAACTAGTGTATGCCCCCCTTGCGTTGCTCCATGTAACGGTGTACCATGATGTCCCGATGCCTTGTTCACATCTGCTCCTTTATCCACGAGGCATTCAACTACCTCGAGATAGCCACCTTGTGAAGCGGCGTAGAGGGGCGTGAAGCTATCATGCCCTGATGATATGTTCAGATCTGCTCCTTTACTCACAAGGCGCTCAACAAGGTCGAGAAGGCCTTTCTTTGATGCAAGATAAAGAGGTGTGTTACCATCAATATCATATCTATCAAGGTCATCAACCTTACCGATGAGATATTTGACAACATCGAGGAAACCATTAAGAAACGCATGTCGAATTGCCGTTGTGCCGATGTCATCTCTGCTCCCAATATCTGCATCTCTAATGATTAAATAGTTTACAATGTCAAGGCGACCTTTAATCAATGCAGTATAGAGTGGTGCTTGTCCATTATTCGATGATGTATTGATATATGCTCCTGCATCCACCAGAAATTCAACAACATGGAGATGGCCATCTTTAGAAGCAATGAACAGGGGTGTACAACCACTGTTTTCAACCGAATTCGGGTTTGCTCCTTGAGAAATGAGATATTGTACAATGTGAACATGACCTCTGCCTGAAGCTGCATGTAGGGGTGTCATGCCATTCTTTGCTGCTTTTTCGACATCGGCTCCTGCATTCACTAGACATTCAACAACATCAAGATGACCATCTTGAGAGGCACCGAACAGGGGTGTATTAATATTGCTATTTCCCGAATTCGGGTCTGCGCCTTGTGAAATGAGATAGGTTACAATGTCTACATAACCTCTAACTGAAGCCGCAAGTAGAGGTGTCTTGTCATTCTTTGTTGCTTTTTTAACATCGGCTCCCGCATTCACTAGGCATTTAATAACCTCGAGATGACCCTCACGGGAGGCACCGAACAGGGGTGTAGTACCATTGTTTGTAACCGAATTCGGATTATCTCCTTGGGAAATGAGATATTCTACAGTGTGTACATGACCTCTACCTGACGCCACTTGTAGAGGTGTCCATCCTTGATGCGTTGCTTTCTTAGCATCAGCTCCTGCATTCACTAGTAATTTAACCACATCAAGATGACCCTCACGGGAGGCACCGAACAGGGGTGTTTTACCATTGCTATTTCCCGAATTCGGGTCTGCGCCTTGTGAAATGAGATAGGTTACAATGTCTACATGACCTTTATCTGAAGCCGCATGAAGAGGTGTCATGCTATTCTCTGTTGCTTTCTTCACATCAGCTCCCGCATTCACCAGGTATTTAATAACCTCGAGATGACCCTCTTGTGAGGCATTGAACAGGGGTGTAGTACCATCGTTTGTAACCGAATTCGGGCTTGCTCCTTGGGAAATGAGATATTCTACAGTGTGTACATGACCTCTACCTGACGCCACATATAGAGGTGTCCATCCTTGATGCGTTGCTTTCTTAGCATCAGCTCCTGCATTCACTAGTAATTTAACCACATCAAGATGACCCTCACGGGAGGCACCGAACAGGGGTGTATTACCATTGTTTGTAACCGAATTTGGATTATCTCCTTGGGAAATGAGATATTCTACAGTGTGTACATGACCTCTACCTGACGCCACTTGTAGAGGTGTCCATCCTTGATGCGTTGCTTTCTTAGCATCAGCTCCTGCATTCACAAGTAATTTAACCACATCAAGATGACCCTTACGGGAGGCATTGAACAGGGGTGTAGTACCATCGTTTCTAACCGAATTCGGGCTTGCTCCTTGGCAAACGAGATATTTTACAATATCTACATGACCTCTACCTGATGCCACATGAAGAGGTGTCAAGCCTTTCTCCGTTGCTTTCTCCACATCAGCTCTTGCATTCACTAGACATTTAACAACATCAAGATGACCCTCTTCTGAGGCAAGGTGCAGGGGTGTATGACCATTGTTTGTAACATAATTCGGGTTTGCTTCTTGAGAAATTAGATATTTTACAATATCTACATGGCCTTTACCTGACGCCACATAAAGAGGTGTCACGCCATTCTTCGCTGCTTTCTTGACATCAGCTCCGGAATTCAAAAGACATTCAACAACTTCGAGATGACCCTCTTGTGAGGCAATGCATAGGGTTGTATAACCATCGTCGTTAACAGAATTCGGGTTTGCTTCTTGAGAAATTAGATATTTTACAATGTCTACATGACCCCAACATGACGCAGCTCGAAGAGGTGTCCAACCTTTATTCGATACTTTCTCTACACCAGCTCCTGCATTCACTAAACATTCAACAACTTCGAGATGACCCGTTTGTGAGGCAATCCACAGGGGTGTAGAACCGTCGTTATTAACCGAATTCGGGTTCGCTCTTTGAGAAATTAGATATATTACAATGTCTACATGACTGTTACCTGACGCCACATGAAGAGGTGTCCATCCTTTATCCGTTGCTTTCTCCTCATCAGCTCCTACATTAACTAGCAATTCAACAATATGAAGATGACCCACTTGTGAGGCAATGTAGAGGGGTGTTATACCATCTTTATCAACCGAATTCGGGTTTGCTCCTTGAGAAATGAGAAATTTTACAATGTCTACATGGCCTTTACCTGACGCCACATGAAGAGGTGTCCTGCCTTTCTCCGTTGCTTTCTCCACATCAGCTCCTGCATTCACTAGACATTTAACAACATCAAGATGACCTTCTTGTGATGTAAGGTACAGGGGTGTATGACCATTGTTTGTAACATAATTCGGGTTTGCTCCTTGAGAAATTAGATATTTCACAATGTCTACACGACCTTTACCTGACGCCACATGAAGAGGTGTCCAACCTTTATTCGATGCTTTCCCTACACCAGCTCCTGCATTCACTAAACATTCAACAACTTCGAGATGACCCTTTTGTGAGGCAATCCACAGGGGTGTAGAACCGTCGTTATTAACCGAATTCGGGTTCGCTCTTTGAGAAATTAGATATATTACAATGTCTACATGACTGTTACCTGACGCCACATGAAGAGGTGTCCATCCTTTATCCGTTGCTTTCTCCTCATCAGCTCCTACATTAACTAGCAATTCAACAATATGAAGATGACCCACTTGTGAGGCAATGTAGAGGGGTGTTATACCATCTTTATCAACCGAATTCGGGTTTGCTCCTTGAGAAATGAGAAATTTTACAATGTCTACATGGCCTTTACCTGACGCCACATGAAGAGGTGTCCTGCCTTTCTCCGTTGCTTTCTCCACATCAGCTCCTGCATTCACTAGACATTTAACAACATCAAGATGACCTTCTTCTGATGTAAGGTACAGGGGTGTATGACCATTGTTTGTAACAGAATTCGGGTTTGCTCCTTGAGAAATTAGATATTTCACAATGTCTACACGACCTTTACCTGACGCCACATGAAGAGGTGTCGAGCCACTCTTTGCTGCTTTCTTGAAATCAGCTCCCGCATTCACCAGGTATTTAATAACCTCGAGATGACCCTCTTGTGAGGCATTGAACAGGGGTGTAGTACCATCGTTTGTAACCGAATTCGGGCTTGCTCCTTGGGAAATGAGATATTCTACAGTGTGTACATGACCTCTACCTGACGCCACATATAGAGGTGTCCATCCTTGATGCGTTGCTTTCTTAGCATCAGCTCCTGCATTCACTAGTAATTTAACCACATCAAGATGACCCTCACGGGAGGCACCGAACAGGGGTGTATTACCATTGTTTGTAACCGAATTCGGATTATCTCCTTGGGAAATGAGATATTCTACAGTGTGTACATGACCTCTCCCTGACGCCACTTGTAGAGGTGTCCATCCTTGATGCGTTGCTTTCTTAGCATCAGCTCCTGCATTCACTAGTAATTTAACCACATCAAGATGACCCTCACGGGAGGCACCGAACAGGGGTGTATTACCATTGCTATTTCCCGAATTCGGGTCTGCGCCTTGTGAAATGAGATAGGTTACAATGTCTACATGACCTTTATCTGAAGCCGCATGAAGAGTTGTCATGCTATTCTCTGTTGCTTTCTTCACATCAGCTCCCGCATTCACCAGGTATTTAATAACCTCGAGATGACCCTCTTGTGAGGCATTGAACAGGGGTGTAGTACCATCGTTTCTAACCGAATTCGGGCTTGCTCCTTGGCAAACGAGATATTTTACAATATCTACATGACCTCTACCTGATGCCACATGAAGAGGTGTCAAGCCTTTCTCCGTTGCTTTCTCCACATCAGCTCTTGCATTCACTAGACATTTAACAACATCAAGATGACCCTCTTCTGAGGCAAGGTGCAGGGGTGTATGACCATTGTTTGTAACATAATTCGGGTTTGCTTCTTGAGAAATTAGATATTTTACAATATCTACATGGCCTTTACCTGACGCCACATAAAGAGGTGTCACGCCATTCTTCGCTGCTTTCTTGACATCAGCTCCGGAATTCAAAAGACATTCAACAACTTCGAGATGACCCTCTTGTGAGGCAATGCATAGGGTTGTATAACCATCGTCGTTAACAGAATTCGGGTTTGCTTCTTGAGAAATTAGATATTTTACAATGTCTACATGACCCCAACATGACGCAGCTCGAAGAGGTGTCCAACCTTTATTCGATACTTTCTCTACACCAGCTCCTGCATTCACTAAACATTCAACAACTTCGAGATGACCCGTTTGTGAGGCAATCCACAGGGGTGTAGAACCGTCGTTATTAACCGAATTCGGGTTCGCTCTTTGAGAAATTAGATATATTACAATGTCTACATGACTGTTACCTGACGCCACATGAAGAGGTGTCCATCCTTTATCCGTTGCTTTCTCCTCATCAGCTCCTACATTAACTAGCAATTCAACAATATGAAGATGACCCACTTGTGAGGCAATGTAGAGGGGTGTTATACCATCTTTATCAACCGAATTCGGGTTTGCTCCTTGAGAAATGAGAAATTTTACAATGTCTACATGGCCTTTACCTGACGCCACATGAAGAGGTGTCCTGCCTTTCTCCGTTGCTTTCTCCACATCAGCTCCTGCATTCACTAGACATTTAACAACATCAAGATGACCTTCTTCTGATGTAAGGTACAGGGGTGTATGACCATTGTTTGTAACAGAATTCGGGTTTGCTCCTTGAGAAATTAGATATTTCACAATGTCTACACGACCTTTACCTGACGCCACATGAAGAGGTGTCCAACCTTTATTCGATGCTTTCCCTACACCAGCTCCTGCATTCACTAAACATTCAACAACTTCGAGATGACCCTTTTGTGAGGCAATCCACAGGGGTGTAGAACCGTCGTTATTAACCGAATTCGGGTTCGCTCTTTGAGAAATTAGATATATTACAATGTCTACATGACTGTTACCTGACGCCACATGAAGAGGTGTCCATCCTTTATCCGTTGCTTTCTCCTCATCAGCTCCTACATTAACTAGCAATTCAACAATATGAAGATGACCCACTTGTGAGGCAATGTAGAGGGGTGTTATACCATCTTTATCAACCGAATTCGGGTTTGCTCCTTGAGAAATGAGAAATTTTACAATGTCTACATGGCCTTTACCTGACGCCACATGAAGAGGTGTCCTGCCTTTCTCCGTTGCTTTCTCCACATCAGCTCCTGCATTCACTAGACATTTAACAACATCAAGATGACCTTCTTCTGATGTAAGGTACAGGGGTGTATGACCATTGTTTGTAACAGAATTCGGGTTTGCTCCTTGAGAAATTAGATATTTCACAATGTCTACACGACCTTTACCTGACGCCACATATAGAGGTGTCCATCCTTGATGCGTTGCTTTCTTAGCATCAGCTCCTGCATTCACTAAACATTCAACAACTTCGAGATGACCCGTTTGTGAGGCAATCCACAGGGGTGTAGAACCATCGTTATTAACCGAATTCGGGTTCGCTGTTTGAGAAATTAGATATATTACAATGTCTACTGTACCATTAGATGATGCCGCATGAAGAGGTGTCGCGCCATTCGTTGCTGCTTTCTTGACATCAGCTCCTGCATTTACTAGACATTTAACAGAATCAAGATGACCCTCTTGTGAGGCAATGTACAGTGGTGTATAACCATCGTTTTCAACACAATTCGGGTTGGCGCCTTTAGAAATAAGATATTTTACAATGTCTACATGACCTTTATATGACGCTGTATAGAGAGATTCCTCGCCATTATTTGCTGCTTTCTTGACATCAGCTCCTGCATTCACCAGACATTTAACAACATCAATATGTCCGTTTCGTGTCGCGTAATAGAGGGATGTAAAACCATATCCATCACTAGTATTAACGTCAACTCCTTTACGTATGATATATTTTACAGCATCGGTATTACCACTGGAAGATGCATTTTGGAGGATAGTATGGTAAGTATCAGTACGTCCAAGATCTGCTTCCTTTGCCATGAAAAATACTGCTATTTCCCGTTGTTCATAACGTAATGCTATGCCTAGTGGTGCATAACCATCGTGTGATACCTTGTTTACATCTGCCCCTGCATTTACGAGACACTCGACAATATCAAATTGACCTGTCTTTGAAGCAATATGAAGAAGTGTATATTCATTATCATCAGTACAACATGTATTTAGGTCTGTACCTTTAGACATGAGGTATTTCACAACTAGTGTATGCCCCCCTTGCCTTGCTCCATGTAACGGTGTACCATGATGTCCTGATGCTTTGTTCACATCTGCTCCTTTAGTCACGAGGCATTCAACTACCTCGAGATAGCCTCCTTGCGAAGCAGCGTAGAGGGGCATGAGACCATCATGTCCTGATGCTTTGTTCACATCTGCTCCTTTATTCGCGATGCACTCAACAAGGTCGAGAAGGCCTGTCTTTGATGCAAGATAAAGAGGTGTGTTACCATCAACATCACACCTATCAAGATCATCAACTTTACCGATGAGATATTTTAAAACATCGAGATACCCATAAATAAACGCATGACGAATTGCGTTTGTGCCGATGTCATCTCTGATCCCAATATCTGCCGATGTAAGGATAAGATATTTTACAATGTCAAGGTGACCTTTAATTAATGCAGTATAGAGAGGTGCGTGTCCGTTATCGGATGATTTGTTGACATCTGCTCCTGCATCCACCAGACATTCAACAACTTGGAGATGACCATTCTGTGACGCGTGATGTAGTGGTGTCAAACAATCATTATCACCCAAATCGTAGTTTACCCCTTTAGTTATGATATACCTTACAACGTCGGTGTAGCCCTCTGATGATGTTTTCGAAAGCACAAGTGGACCGACGTCATTGATGTTGCCAATGTCTGCTTCCTTAACTATGAGAAACTCCACAATGCCCTGATGTCCCTCCATTAATGCGGTTGACAGCGAAGTATAACCATTATGAGATGCTTCATTGATATCAGCTCCTGCATTGGCCAGATATTCAACAACATGAAGGTGACCCTCTTTAGATGCAGCGTGAAGTGGTGTGTATTTGTTGTTGTCATCCATGTTGATATTTGCACCTTCAGTTAAGAGATATTTAACTACATCAAGATGACCACAGGAAGCCGCAGTACTAAGCGAAGTTTTACCTTCATATCCCTTTAATGTCATATCTGCTCCTTGAGTTATGAGATATTTCACAACATCGAGACGACCATTTCTTGCTGAAGTATAAAGGGGTGTAGAACCATCATATGAACCCTTGTTTATATCTGCTCCAGATTTCACTAAACATTCTACAACACCAACATGGTCCTCCTCCGAAGCAAGATGAAGAGGTGTATAGCCATTGCTATTACCAATGTTGGTATCTGCTCCTTCCCCGATGAGATATTGAGCAACATTCTGACGACCACTTCGAGACGCATAGTGAAGAGGGGCGTCGCCGCTTCTACTTCGTTTTTCTAGATCCACGCCCAAATCAGTCATATATTTCACGAGGTCGATATGCCCTTCTTCTGAAGCGATATGAAGGGGTGTCTTACCATCGGGATCCACACTGCATAGCATTACTAGCTTGGTATCACCTGTCTCGTCTTCCAGAATAGACCTTGTCTTTACAAGATCGCCTTCCTTCACTGCTGTAGAAAGCGCCATGTTCATTCTGTCTTCTCTATCTGTATGTGTATTCTCTCTCGCTATCTGTTTAATAAAAATGAAGGAAAACAATTAGGCAGAAAAATTGATATGGGAATTTACCGCTCTAAAACAATTCAATATTTAAATTTGAATGAACCAGGACCGGGAGGGGGGGGGGGGGGGGGTTCACAAAGATCCTAAATCAAACTTAACATCTAAGTTAGACTTAAACATTATGGAGCGCGACTTGTAGCCTTAAAATAAAATATATTCAAAAGCAATAATTCAAGTATTTTAGACTTTTTTTAAATTCCACGTCAAGAACACGAAATCTCTTTGGTAATAGAAAATATGAACGATTTGAATCAACATTTGATGCCTTTTAAAATAATTTTTACAAATTATTTCCATAGATGCCAATGGCTTTCCATAATTATTAAGTCCAACTTAGAGATACGTTCAATTTAGGATCTTTGTAAAACACTCCCCTGAATTTCAAAGAGATGATTGGTACAATGTAGTAATACAATCGAAGAATAACAATGAATACATCCGTAAGAAAGATTTTAGTCTTGCGCTTTGTCCTATTGCAAATCAACGTGATCACGATATTTTGAAACCTCTGAAGACTATGTACTTGCTATATACAGTACATGTTCGCTGTAGACGTACATGTATATTGCTTCCACTCAAAATGCGCATCCTTTTAAAAGACATCAATTCATTATGGATAATATAAAATGACTCATCCATCACATAATCTGATGTTTTCTTTTCTGTGTGTGGCATGATAACATATATAATTTGTTTAATCAAGAATAGCTGTTTTGAAGTATCAAGTATCAAGTATCAAGTTTATTTGTCTTCCAGAAAACATGTGACAAAATATAATCATTACAGTACAAGTATAATCATAAGAGTACAATGTAGAATTGAGAGATTAATGTTGTGTAAAAGAAACTTTGAAATACAATTAGTTTTTATAACCCCATATTGTGAATAAGTCAGACTTATATGTTGTATGCAGCATTATTTCAGATAAAAAGAGAATGTTGCCCTTTTCTACACTTTGATAGCCTAGAGTATCTGTTTCTAATATAAATCACCATCGCTTTCCTCATTATCTTGGTGTTTTGTTTCTTATTCTTCTCTCTTCATGTTTGGAATGGTGTTGTGAATGCTAAGGAAGTAGAAGCTCCATAATTATGGACCATCATGGGTGATCATGGGTGTTTTCGTGTTGGAGTGGGTATACATCAGGGATCAGTCTTGTATCCACTACTGTTGTCTACTGTGATTGATGTTTTATTAGAGTCAGTAAAGAAAGATGTTTTATTAAACATGTTGTATGCAGGTGACTTAGTTTTGATGGCTGAACCAATGCACCAGCTGAAGAAGGATTTCATGAACTGGAAGAATGCATTTCAGTGCAGGGGCCTTAAAGTCAACACTTGAAAGACAAAGGTAATGAAAGCAAGTGGTTGGGCAACATCCGTGGAAGAAAACATAATAGATCATTGCAGTGTATGTGGCTATAGAAAGTGATGAGGAACCCTATCAGATGCATGTCATGTACAAGTGGATTTATGCAAGATGAGCTGGTCTAGTGAAAATGCCAACGAAATGGCTGAGTGCAAGAAATGCAGAGAGATTAGTAATGGAGTAGTAGGGAGCGAGAAGGGATGTGTATGAGGGATGTTGAGAAGGTTGATGATACTTGTCATCTTGGGAATACAATCAACGATGGTGGTGGATGTGAGATTGCATTGGCAAGAAGATGTAGATAGGAGGGTGAAGTTAAATGAGCTGGCCTTGATCCTAGCTGATAGAACGTTTACAATGAGAATATAAGGCAGGAATTAAGGATTGTGTTAGAAAAGCGACGATATATGATTAAGAAACCTGGAATGTGAAGACAGTACAAAAAGGTACATGTATCTTAAAGGGAACCAAAACCTTCATACTAAGTTACTTTTATTGTAAAGTTTAAGATTTTTTGAATAAAATCAGTGAAAATTTGAACAAAATCGGACAAGAAATAAGAAGGTTAAGGTTTTTCGAAATGACTAGTCACTAGAGGGCGATATTCAATTTGATGACATCATTTGTGGACAACTCTCCATGCTTTTCGTACATCAAATTTCATGTTTTTCCTTCCTTCTTGTGATTGAGATAATCTACTCCCCCGAAAGCAACGTATAGAATGCAAAATGATTTTCTATTTCACATGTTTTGAAGTCGGATCAAGAACACAAATAAATACGAAGAAAACGGTTTGTGCTGGCAATGTTCCAGCGAGCGAAAATGAGACAACCGGAGCAATTTGAAATTTGGCCCAGTCTTGATAAAGTTACAAGCACTGTACACATAAAGATGTATATGGGACTACCCCCACACGTGCGCGACACGTGCGTTATTATATCAGGTCCAAATAGATGTAATAATTTACCAAATGTATCAATTAGTAGGCGGTTTCTCAAACCTTTTCCTTAAAGGTAAAGACCTGTTTTGGAAACGCCCCCTCTCAAAAAATGAAATGGAAGCTCTTATTACCAATCATGTGAAAGAATATGTTTTGACTAATACGTGATTATTAGTCAAAACATATTCTTTCACATGATTGATAATAAGAGTTTCCATTTCATTTTTTGAGAGGGGGCGTTTCCAAAACAGGTCTTTACCTTTAAGGAAAAGGTTTGAGAACCCCTGCTCTACACTACTGATATTATTGATGTTATCAATGCGTTACTTGTTACTTGTTACTTGTTACTTGTTACTTGTTACTTGTTACTTGTAGAGATAATCCCGATGGCAGCTATCATACAGCTAAACTGGGATGTCCGTGCAACGTGCTGGCATAGTGACAGTGCATGAAGTAATTCAAAACAGTGGATGATGTCTATTATTTACAATAAAACGGTGGACGTGCAAGTAAAAACCGAGACGTGGAGTCTACAGTAGCTTGGACCCAACAGGAGGAGGCAACGCTCTGATGATGGGTAGAGCAGCCTCCTGGAAGATGGTCACTGTTGGAGATGTTACTGCAGCAGCTGATAGGTGGTTCCACGTCCAGATGGTGCGAGGATAGAAGGAGTACTTAAAGCTATCAATGGAGGCTGGGGGTACTGCATACTTCAGAGGGTGATCATTTCTGCCCAGATATGTAGCTGGGATAATGTGAGTGGGAAAAGGCATGTTGAGTTGATGATGGTGCATCTTGTAAAACAAAGTGGACTGTGCAAGAAGCCTGCGGTTGTGAAGGGTATCCCATCCCAGTTTGTTGACAAGTGCTGTGACTGATGTTATTCTCCGGTAGTCTTGGTATACAAAACGGGCGGCAGCTCGCTGTACTTTCTCAAGACTTTGTATTGATGTCAGAGTACGAGGGTTCCAAGCTTCACTGCCATACTCAAGTTGAGGACGAACAAGCATTGTGTAGGCTTTGGATTTGATGTTCTTGGTGCACGGTGATAGAGTTCTGCGTAGGAGGCCAAGGGTTCTATTGCCTTTCTGGGTGGCGAGTTTACATTGGGTGTTCCATTTAAGGTCATGGGTAATCGTGACACCAAGATACTTGTATTGTTTTACTCGAGGAATTGACTCATTTAGTAGGGTGTAGTCCACTGTGACGGGGTGCTTCTTGTTTGTGATTGACAATGTAGCACACTTCTTGATGTTGAATCCCATCAGCCATTTAGTAGACCAGTCTGCAAGAACATGGAGATCTTCTTGCAGTATATGAGTGTCAGAGGGAGAGTCGATACGCCGATAGATGACACTGTCATCTGCAAATAGACGCATTGTGGACTTGATGTTGAGTTTGATGTCATTGATGTACAGCAGGAAAAGTACGGGGCCGATGACAGAACCCTGCGGCACTCCTGAAGTAACAGGCATCCATGCTGAGCGAGCACCATTGACGACGACAGCTTGATGTCTATTCGCTAGGAGTGACATAGTCCAGCGGAGAGAGTCTCCCCTGATTCCGTAGTAATGTAGTTTGGATCTAAGGTGTGGATATGGTACGCGATCAAACGCTTTTTGGAAGTCAAGAAAGATGGTATCAGTTTGGCCTCTAGATTGAAGAGAGGATGACCAATCATCGGTAGCTGTGACAAGTTGTGTTGTTGTCGAAAGATTCTGTCTGAAACCATGCTGTTCATCAATGAGTATGTTGTTAGCTGCAAGATGTTTAGAAATGTGGCTAAGCATAATATGTTCCATCACCTTACTGCAGATACACGTCAGCGATATAGGTCTGTAGTTACCTGGGCAACATTTATCTCCTGCCTTATGAATAGGGGCTACAAGTGCACGTTTCCAGTCTAAAGGCACTTCTCCGGCATTGTAACTCTGTTGAAACAGAAATGACAATGCAGGGGCTATTTCGTGTGCTAGCATCTTCAGAATTCTTGGATGTATCTCATCTGGGCCACTGGCTTTGGATGGATTCAGTTGAAGCAGTTGCTTAACTACACCAGACCGGTGGATGTGGAGATGCCCTATATCATTGTATAGGGAGGGCCGGTTTATGCAAACTTGATCCACGTTGCTCTTGGTGAAGGTAGAATGAAAGTAATTATTCAAACATTCAGCCTTGTCCTTGTTTGTGATATGGAGCTTGTTATCATTTCTCAAGGGTGGTATACCAAAGTTTTCAGATCTACGCTGTTTTACATATGACCAGAAAGCCTTGGGGTTCGCATATAGGCTCTCACCTATTATGTTGCAGACGTAATTGTGATGAGCTTGGCGAACACGTTTGGTCAGTTCGTTTCGAAGCTGCCTGTAGGCCTTCCAATTGGATGCACTAGGCTGACTTCGTGCCTTCTTGAACAAACGATCCCGCTTCCTCATTTGCCTTTTGAGGGAAATGGTGATCCATGGCAAGTTGCGTCTGGCTCTTGACATCTTGGATGGGATGAATTCATCCTTGCACTTGTTGATGAGTGATGTGATACAGGTCCAGTTTTCATCAACTGACTTCAGCTCTGGTGAAGATGATAGAAAATCCATTG